CCAAGGGGCTCTTTAGTTAGCAGGTGATGAATCCTGCCAGGACTGGGTCCTTCTCGTCAAGGCAGTGGATTCCCTTCTGGCCCAGAGAGTGTCTAGAAATGTTGTCTGAGATCTAGGGCCTGGAATGGGGGCCTCAAGACTCTGCCTTGTGCTCTGTCTTTCTGTGGCTGAGCTGGTATCCAAATTGTGAGACAAAGTCCTCTTCCCTCTTCCCTCTTTTCTCCTCAAGTGGAGGGAAGGATTCTCTCCCAGAGTTGCGAGCTGTGCTGCCTGGGGTGGAGAAGGGGTGGTATAAGCACTTCCTTGGCCACCCCAGCTGATGTCTCACTAGGTGTACCCTCCAAGTCCCCTGGCTCCAAGCACAGCACAGCACCAGGACTTGCCCAGGAATTGCCGTCCTTGCGGCCTTAGACTTCCTTTCAACTTTATTAGAAACCCAGAGCACTTTAGTCTGCAGGGGTGAGGTTTGCTGGAACGCAGGTTCTGACCACTGGGATGAGTGATTCTCCTCTGTCTAGGGCTAGTCTAAATGTTCCCTCCATGGGTTCCAGCTGGGTTCTGCTTGGTATTGCTTTCTGCTATGACAGAGCAGCACTGAATTTCAATGCAAAGTCCCACAGTCGCTGCACTCTCCCTTCCCTAGATGCACAGGTTCTTTCTCCATGCAGTATGGCTGCTGCCAGAGGATGGAGAAGAGGTGGTATAGGCGATTCACAACTATCTTTCCTACCCTCTTCAGTGCCTCACTCTGTGACATGAAGTTGAAACCAGCTACTGTGACTGCTCACCTGATTTTTGGTTCTTATAAAGGTGCTTTTTTGTGTGTCGATAGTTGTTCAATTTGGTGTTCTTGCCGGGAGGATGATCAGTGAAGGCTTCTATTCGGTTATCTTGCTCTGTCTCCTGTTTTTACCACGACTGCTTATCTCATATTAATTTGTCCATTTGGGCTGGGCATGGTGGCTCACGCCTGTAATCCCAGCACTTTGGGAGACCGAGGTGGGGGGAATCACCTGAGGTCAGCAGTTCAAGACCACTCTGGCCAACATGGTAAAACCCTGTCTCTAGTAAAAAATAAAAAAATTAGCTGGGCATGGTGGTGGGGGCCTGCAATCCCAGCTACTCAGGAGGCTGAGGCAGGAGAATCACTTGAATCCATGAGGCAGAGGCTGTATTGAGCTGAGATTGTGCCACTGCACTCCAACCTGGGCGACAGAGTGAGACCCTGTCTTAAAAAAAAAAAATTGTCCATTTGCTCCCTGCAACAAAGCTAGGAGCATGTGGCGAGCAGGGACAGAGCCTGACTGTCCATTGCACAATGGCTGAACATAGGAGGAAATGATCAAATACCAGACTGAAGAGAGGTTGTTCACTTTCCAAAGGCAGGCAAGAGAGCTAACCCTCTTCAATACCTGCTCCTTCAAGCTGGAAGATGTGCATGGAGAACAGGGTATGGGTAAGGGTGTGAAGACAACATGCTGGCTGTGTTCCTGGGGCAGTAACGACCCTGAGCTTAGCAAGGAGTAATGGAATATAAGCAAGAGAGGAAAGTGGAAGTCCATTGGGGAGAATGAAAACCAGGAAGAAAAATGTGGATTTTATATGGTGGGCAACAACACGGAACCAAGAAGCCTCCTCTAAGCTACCAGCTGGATCTTAATTGCATGATTCCCCCCAGCTGACAGAATATTCCAGCCAGGAGGCACACATACCCACATTCTGGCTCCAGGAAACATCTACCCAATCATGAGGTAATCCTCCAGAGTTCCAGCCACTCATCACTTCCTGAAGTTGCCCGGGTGGGCCCAGGCCAAGGGACCCACAGGTGGAAGAATCAGAAAGCTCAGGTCCTCACAGCTCTAAGGATACCTGGCCAGAGTGGGGACTAGCAGCATCCTCACCTCACATACATGTAGGGGAAACCCAGACTGTTTCCAGGTCATGGAAAATGTCCAGGCTAGCCCTGGAGCCTTACCAGCCCTCTCGAGCAGTTCTACCTAGCAACCAACTCAGCTCTCTGCCTGGTAATTTATTAACGGAATTGTACTCACAAGGTTTGTTTTCCTAGTCTATGAGGCCCAAAACACTGTAACGAGAGTTCTATTTCCTTTTCCTCTATTCTGAGATGGGAAATAATAATAACAGCTACTATTACAGAGCACCTATTCCATATTTGGCACTTAAGGCTTCTTTCTAACCCTGACAACAACTCTGCCAGATAGGTATTATTATTTGCACTGCAGTTGAAAAGCTGAAGTTCTGGTGTATCATGGCACATGGTAGAGTGAGAATCAAACCCCAGCCTGGCTAACTCCAAGCCAGTGCTCCCCCTACCACAGCAAGCTGCCAAAAAGGCAAGCCAAACATCACGAACCTGCTGCAGTCACTGGTGCCTGCTGGGCTCCAGCCACTCCTACCACCAGACCCATTCAAGAAAAGACGAAGGAGCCCTTTTTGAATTTGGTCTCTTGGAACCAGCAAAGACACAAGAAAACAAGTTAATTGTCCATATAGACGCACCAGGAAGGTGATACAGGTACAATCAATGCAGACCATTTCCTGCTATTACCCTGCTGAGGTCCAAAGGTCTGCCCTGGCCTCACCATCCTTGGTGACCCCAATTTTTACCCTGTGACACCTCAGCAAAACTCTGCAAGACATCTGTTGGAGGTATTAAAAAATACTGTGATGGCCAAGTGTAGTGGCTCATGTCTGTAGTCCCAACACTTTGGGAAGCTGGGGTGGGCAGATTGCTCGAGCCTAGGAGTTCCAGACCAGCCTGGGCAACATGACGAAAACCCATTTCTACAAAAAATACAAAGATTAGCTAGTCATGGTGGCATGTTCCTGTAGTCGTAGCTACTTGGGAGGCTAAGGTGGGAGGATCACCTGAGCTGGGAGGTCAAGTCTGTGGTGAGCTGAGATTGCACCACTGCACTCCAGCCTAGGTGACAGAATGAGACCACATCTCAAAAAACAAAAAACAAAAAACTATGACAATCACAGCCAGATACAGTGTCTGTACAGCAATCCCAACACTGTTGAGAGGCTGAGGCAGGTGGACCACTTGAGCCCAAGAGTTCAAGACCAGCCTGGGCAACATGGCAAGACCCGGCCCCTACAAAAAGTACAAAAATTAGCCAGGTATGGTGGCACACACCTGTAGTCCCAGTTATTCAGGAGCCTGAGGCAGGCAGACAGATTCAGCCCAGGAAGTCAAGGCTGCAGTGAGCCATGATCATGCCACTGCACTCCAGCTGGATGACAGAGCGAGACTGTCTCAAAAAAAAAAAAGTGACAATCAGCATAAAGAAAGGGGACCGTGCTAAGGGGACTGACCAAGCTATAGGGTGACCAAGAAGGTCACCCTATCAGGCAGAGTAGAGTAAGAGCTGGGGTAGGGACTCACATGGGAACTGAGCCTATGCCCTGGCATAGCCATTGTGAGACAATGGACATGCCATCCCCTCTCTGGGCCAGGGGCACAAGCCAGAACTTGGGTGTCATCCTGTACTCTGCCCCCTCCTTCAACTCTATCTCTAATTAGGCACCTAATCAATCCTCAGACTGACCTCTGCAAAAGATTCTGACTCTGTCCCCTCCTCACATTTTACCTAGATTATTGCATTTGTCTCCTAGCTGGGCCCCAACCTCCAGGCTGTGTCCAGCCTATCCATCTTCCCAGCCAGAGGGATCATTCTGAAACATGTACATGCTCACCTCACTTCTCTGCTCACTTGAACCCTTATCTCTCAAAGTAAAGTGCAAGCTCCTTGGCTTAGCTCCCAGACCCTTGTGTCTGCCTCCTGCACTCTTCCTGGCTTCTTCCCCAGGCTCTCAGCACACACTTCCCATGCCTGTACTTCCCTGAATGCACTGTGCTGTTTTATGACCATGTATTCTGCTGACCTATCTTCCTTAGAAGGCTCTTTCCTTCTAACTCTTGCCAGTTCTTCAGAACTCAACTCAATAGCACTTTTTCCAGGGAGCCCTCTTTGATATCCTCGTTGGACTTAGATGTCCCCTCCTTTAGGCTTCCCACCCACCATGGGCTTCCTGCTAGCATAGTACTTAGAGTTGTTGGTTTTTCTATCTCCTACACTAAGGTTTCTGGAAAAAAGAAGCAATCTCAGACAGCCTCAGTGAATTTTGTATCTGCAGCAATACCCAGGCACCCAGCACCATGCTTGAAAGACCACAGGGATTTCTGCATAGAGAAATGAAGGAATCACCCCAGCAAACAGGTCATAGAATTGATCACAAATTAGAGGACCTTTACACGTTAAGTATCTGTATAGGCTCATCAGTCTATGCAACTGAGCTCAGTTACTAAGGGAACTGATCCTTCTACTCTGACAACATTCTTGCTTTATGAAGTCCTATGTGGTCACAGTGAACTTTCTCAACCCTGAATACCAGTTACCACAAATGATCAGTGGCCCCTAGAAGCAGTTTTATGGCCACAGTTTGGAGCAGGGTAGGGGTGGCGAGTCAGGAAGGACAGCCAACGGTCCCTGGGCTCCAGGATTTACCAGCTCTGGTCAAGGGATGATGGAGGCTGCACTGAGAACGGGTCTGGCGAGCCAGCCAACTTCTGCAATCCTCCAAACACTTCTAGTTCTGCCCACTCAGGACTCAGCTCTTTGTTACTAAAAAGTTCAGTCTTGTGAAATATGTTTGGTTTCAAGTTTCCTGTCACTGGTCTACTTATTTAGAAGGTATTTGTTCCCCCTGCTCCCTGAAAGAAATAAGGTGCCTTAAGTCTTATTTAAGGAGCTCCTTGCAGTCAGCTCCTGTGTGCAGAAAACCTGTTACGTGAAATGAAACTGAAAAGTTGAACATCTCCATGATATCATCTCTTTCCCAGGAGCTCACAGATTTTCACTGTAAGACGAGGGAGGAGGGCTGTTGGGCACTGGGCCCATCCTGGGAAAGACACCAGGAAGGACTAAGCCTCTTCTTCCTAAACTTGATTCTCTTCCCTTTCTCCCTTTACTGACCTTGAGATCAAAGTGAGCAATTTTCTTTGTATGAAGATAGTTCACCCCATCCAGAATCTGCTTAATGAAGCTGGTGGCCTCCTCCTCACTCAGTGACTCCTTCTGGGCCAGGAAATCGAAGAGCTCTCCTCCAGACACTCTGTAAAACACCAGCGGGGGGAAAGGGAGGCCCAGGCCTGGTCAGCTCTGCATGTCAGGAGGCTGGGCTGATGGGTGCAAGTCCTGATCGTGAACCCCCCAGGGACCTTGTATGGCAGAATCCCTCCTGCTTATGTCTGGGGTTTTGTCTGACCAGTGCCAGGGACTGACTTTGCTTCTATTTGCTTTGTTCTTTCTTTTGGATCACAAGGGCAGGAATCACCCTGGAGGTTTTGTCAGAAGGGCCTCTGCTCCCACCCTAGGCCTGGTCCCAGTCACCCTGGAGGTTGCCCTCTCCCCCCGATATGCCTGAGGTGGCAGGGGACAGAAACAAGCAGATTCTATAGCCTGAATGTTTGTGTCCCTCCAAATTCATATTCTGAAATCCCAATCCCCAAGGTGATGGTAATAGGACATAGGGCCTTTGGGAAGTAATTAAGTCATGAAGTCAGAGCCCTTACAAATGAGATTAGCACCTTTATAAAAGAGACCCCAAAGGGCTCACTTTCACCTCCTACCATGTGAAGTTACAGTCAAAAGACAACCATCTATGAGGAATAAGGAAGTGAACCCTCTTCAGACACCAAATCTGCTGACACCTTGATCTTAGACTCCCAGCCTCCAGGACTGTGAGAAATAAATTTATGTTGTTTGTCAGCCACCCAGTTTATGGTTATTTTGTTATACTGCAGCCTGAATGAACTGTGAGAGGAAATTGGTACCAAGAGTGGAGTGCTACTGTAACAGATACCTAAAGATGTGGATTTGGAAGTTGCTTTGGAATCAGCTAAAAAAGTAGAGGCTGGAAGAGTTCTGGGGTACAGGCTAGAAGAAGCCTACATTGTTATGAATAAACGGACTACAAGGGTGGTTCTGGAGAGGGATCACAAAGAGAGGAGATTCTCAGTCTTCTTAGAGAATATCTAAATGGCCATCAACAAAATATTAGAGAGATACAGATGGAAAGGCCAGTTTGATAATGTCTCAGACAGAAATGAGGAACATGTTACTAGTCTGATCAGTGGGGGAAAGGGCATCCTTGTTATAAAGTAGCAGAGAATGTGGCTGAATTGTGTGTCCTACTGCTTTGTGGAAGGTAGAACTTGTAAGCAATACAAATGGAATGGTTGGCTGAGGAAATTCCCAAGCAAAATGTAGAAGGAATATCCTGGTTGCTTGTAGTCCTGGTTTACTTATAGTAAAATGTAAAAAGAAACGGTTTAAAGAAAAAATTGTTAGTCAGAGAGAAGAAATCTTAAAAGTATGACAAATTCTCAGCCTCCTCATATTGGAAAAACTAATAAAACCTGTTTGGGAAAGAACAAAGGTGTGACCAAGCAACGATTTGATAAAAAAGACTAATATGGATCTCCAGGTAAGCCAGGTGCTATTCCTCAAGACAATAGGCGGATTAGTCAGCCATCTAATCAGAAGCCAGGACCTATTGTCCAAGACAATGGAAGAATGACCCTGAATCATTTCAGAGACTGGGGGTGTAAAGAGGGGTGCTCCTCCCATCACAGGTCCATAGTGCCAGAGCCTAGAGGGCAGAAAGATACCAAAGGAGGGGCCTCCACTGGCCAGTGCTGCCTCCACCGTGTGCTTTCGTCTCCAAACTCTGTTGCCACACTCCTCAGACATAGCAGGTGTGGCTCCTGGAGGGCAACAGTGGGGCATGCTCCGTGCCAAGCAAAGCTGGTGGGTGTGTGGCTGCCTTCACCTGGATTTCAAAAGATGCCTTAGAGAGCTGGTGGGCCGCTGGGCAGAAAACTGCCTTTCAGGTGGGGGCCAATGTTTGGCGAACAAAGCCATGTGGGCAGGGTTGCCCAAAGCTGCAGGGGCAGGACTTCCGCTCTGCCCCCGTGGGCCTGGAGGGCAGAGCATTAAGCCAAAGATTATTCTCAAGGTTTTGTACTGGCTCAGAAGCTGTTACTCCTTTGTTCTTTCCCATTCCTCCTTTTAGAATGAGAATGTGTATCCTCTGCCTGTCCCACCATCATATTTTGTAACACAGCATGTTTGATGTCATAGGTTCACAGCTAAAGAGCAACTTGCCTCAGAATGAATCATAACTTGAGTCTCACCCACATCTGATTTAGATATTTAGATGAGACTTTGAACTTTAAACTTTGGTGTTGATGCTGGAATTAATTAAAACTTTTGGAATTACTGGAATGGAAGGAATGCATTTTACATTTGAAGAGGACATTAATTGGGGTGGGGGGCAGAGACAGAACGCCAGAGTCTGAATGGACTAAGACAGATGACAAAGAGGAACAAATGCTGTGCCAGAAACTAAAGGCCTAGGTTATATTCCAGCCTTGCCACTGACCTTGGACAACTCATTTCCCTTCTCCAGGCAAGCCTTGGTTTCATTACCTGCAAAATAAGCAGATTGGGCAAGACAGCCCCCAAAGCCACCTTTCTTTAACTTTATAAAAGATGGTCCCTTCATGGGCTCAAGAGAATCTAAGTACAGCCCCTAACTTGAATATAAGACCTCCTTAATTATATTAATCTCTAAAGTCTCTAGAATACTATTTTTGATGCTTGATACTACGTTTTCACATCTTGCATCCTATAGTTGATGTGACAGGGTGAAAAGAATCTCCCCTGAGATTTAGGATTCCCAGATAAAATAGGTTTCTATTTGCTAAATCTGGCATCCACACTGGACTTTTTTATCCTATCAACAAAAAGAGTCAAACTCTGTAAAATATTTAAAGATGTTTATTCTGAGCCATATATGAGTGCCCAAGACCTGTGACAAAGTCCCAGAAGGTTCTCAGACCACGTGCCCAAGGTAATTGGGTAAAAGCTTGATTTTATACATTTTAGGGGGACAGAAGTTACAGGCAGAATCAATCGGTAAATGTAAGGTGTACATTTGTTCCATCTGGAAAAGTGGAATAACTTGAAGGTTAGGATGGGGATTGGGAGGGCTTCTAGGTTACAGGTGGATTTTCTGATTGGCAATTGGTTGGAAGAGTTATTATCAAAAGACCTGGAATCAATAGAAAAGAGTGTCTGGGTTAAGACAAGGGTTATGGAGACCAAGGATTTTATTAAGTAGATGAAGTCTCACAGGTGGCTACCCTTGGAGGAAATAGATGGCAAACATTTTCTATTCACATTATTAAAAGGTGCTAGACTCTTAGCTAATCTCTTCAGGATCAAAAAAGACAGGGAAAGGAACAGAGATTGTCCACAGAACGTAGTTTCTTCCCACAAGAGACAGCTTTGCAGGGCCATTTCAAAATATGGCAAAATATTTATTAGGGTAAAATATTTCAATTTCTTTCAAGGCCTGCTATTTGACATGTGAGGTTATAAGTAGAGTCAGGTTGGAATTTGTTATCTTATTGCTGTAAAAAGTCTGTTTTGTTAGTCTTAAGATCATGGCTTTCATATTAATGCTGGTCACTTGTGTCTGAATTTCAACGGGCAGACGGTATAATGAGGCATGTCCAATCTCCTCTTCCCATCGTGGCCTGAAAGGTTTTCAGGTTTACTCTGGAATCCCCTTGGCTGAAAGAGGGGTCCATTCAGGAGCTTAGAATTTAATTTTTGGTTTGCAATCCTCTGACAGAAGCTGGGGTATCCAGCCAGCATGTGCTCCTCTGGATCTGAAATAAAGCCAAGGGCCCAAAGGGAAAGATCTCAGGAAGGGATCTAGGCCAAGGGATCCAGGACCTTGGGATCACTTGGAGGGAGAACCTGTTTTAAAACGCAGATTTCCAGGTCCCACCATAGACTTTAACAAATTAGATTCTCCAGCAGTGAGGCCTTAAAACCTGTATTTTTACTGTAATAACAGTAATAGTAGTTAATATTCACTGAACACATACTCCATGTTACATGCCTTATGCACATCATCTCATTTAATCATCACAATATCCTACAATCTAAGGACTATCATTTTTCTATTTCACACTTCAAGAAACAAAAGCTCAGAGAGGTTAAGCAACTTGCCCACAGTCCCATAGGTAGTAAACAGTCAGGATTCAAATCCAAGCAGAATAGCTCTCAACTGCATGATTCTTTTCTTTTCTTTCCTTTTTTTTTTTTTTTTTTTTGAGGCAGAGTCTCATTCTGTTGCTGAGGCTGGAGTGCAGTAGTGTAATCTTGGCTCAGTGCAAACTCTGCCTCACAGGTTCAAGTGATTCTCATGCTTCAGCCTCCTGAGTAGCTCGGATTACAGGCCTCTGCCACCACACCCAGCTAATTTTTGTATTTTTAGTAGAGATGGAGTTTCACCATATTGGCCAAGCTGGTCTCGAACTCCTGACCTCAAGCAATCCACCCACCTCAGCCTCCAAAAGTGCTGGGATTACAAGTATGAGCCACTGCACCCAGCTCCAGATGATTCTTACGTGGCTAAAATGGCTTTGACCCAACTTTGGGGATCATTCCCTGCCCCCTAGTACATCCTAAATAAAAAGCATCAAAATCTTCTTTTCTCCTTTCTTTAAACATTTCCGCAAGCATATTGGGACCCACTCAATAATCTTAGCATCATGAAAAGTAGAACTGGACGTGAAACAGGGCAATAGGAAGTACACAGCAACAATTATGATATGCAGTGACTTAAAAAATGGAAACTAAATCTGCTTAAGCCTCTTGTTCAGCACTATCAACAGAACTTTCTGCATTGATGAAAATGTTCTAGATATGTGCTGTCCAATAGAGTAGCCATTAGTCCCATGTGGTTGCTGAGCACTTGAAATGTGGCTAGTGTAATAGAGGAACTGAGTTTTCACTTTTATTTAATTTTAATTAATTCTAACTTAAAAACTAAAGTGGTATAAAATATTTTCCATCAAATACAACTTTATTGTTTCAGGAGAATTGCATTCCACTTTAACCATTGCATTGCACTGCTTAAGAACTGAGCTGCGGACTGGGCATGGTGGCTCACACCTGTAGTCTCAGCACTTTGGGAAGCTGAGGCAGGCAGATCACTTGAGCCCAGGAGTTCAAGACCGGCCTAGACAACATAGT